AAAAAAAAAAAAAAAAGCGCTTTCTCTGATTTCTGAATCAGTTCAGATCAATAAATGTAAAACAGGATCCAGTTAAAATCCTGACTCCAAAATGTGTTCAGCTGTAAGTGTAAACCCTGCAGGTTTGCTTTCCGGCCTTCCTGGGTGGAGTTTGCACGTTCTCTTCGTGCATGTTTGGGTTTTCTCCGGGTACTCCGGTTTCCTTCCACAGACCAAAAACATGCACGTTAGTCTGATTGATAAATTGTCCCTAGGTGTGAGTGACAGAGTGAATGGTTGTTTTGTTTGTCTCCATGTGTCCCTGTGATGGACTGGAGTGGACTGGAGACACCAGGGCGTCCACCGCCTCTCACACATTGACTGCTAGAGATGGAGACAAGTACCGTATTTTCCACCGTACACATTGCACCACGCTATAAGTTGCATTAGTCCAAATACGTCTAATAAAGTGGAAAAATCCGTAAATATGTGGCTTCTTCGTATACGTCACATCTATTATGCGTGACCACTGATAACCTGGAAATGTGGGCCGGTGTTGTGCCAAAAATCGATTGACTGCCAAATGGCAGCCACAAGAGCATGCACCAGAGGACTTTAACAAGAATTTAACAAGATTAACACTTAAAAACATTTGCTCAACATTAAAGTAAAGATGCGTCTCACTTGAACTTTTACTTTAATAGTCAAGTCAGCTGCATTTCGCCGGGGCGGCGCCGCGAAATGCAGCTGATTTGATGGTTGCTCCAAGCGAGCAGAACGATGGTGGCAGTTTATGGCAAGACGATTGTGTCATTAATAGCAACTTTTACCTATTACATGACAACGGCATGCCATACTACTCTAGTGCCATCTAGCAGCTGAAAATGGTAATGTTCAATGTTTTTAGTCAGAATGAATGAAAATGGTCATCTCAGCCAAAAATCGGTTTATAAATATGGGGGACAATCCACAAATACGTCGCTTCAGCGTATAAGTCGCAGGGCATGCACATTGGGGGAGTGGTGGCGCAGAGGTTAGAGAGGTGGGCTTGTGATCCGAAGATCGCCGGTTCACGCCCCGGCCCTGACAACATCAAAATTGTGGGTGGGGTAGGTGAAACACCCACACTTGCCCCCACCCTCATTCGCCCCACTCTGGGCCCATGAGCAAGGCCCTTAACCCCCACCATGTGCTCCCTAAAACAGGTCTCTCTTGAAAATGAGTTCTCGTGGCTCAATGAGACTACCTGGATAAATAAAGGCTAAATGAAAAAAAAAAAAAAAAAAAAAAAAAAATTATGCAAAAAAATAAATAAAAAAAACCCTTGCGACTTATAGGACAAAAAATATTTACTGAAATTTGGTCCTGCAGCTTTCTGATGATGATGACGTCACTCCATGAGCTTTGTTAGGTATGTACAGAATTATCCACAGAGCCTGTGTCTACAGAGTAAGCCTGGCATCAAACCTTTAAAAAAAAATTAATAACTCAGAAGAGCCAATATCCTG